AAAATAAATGAATCCATTGAGGAGCCTCCCCAGCCTCTAAAATAAATAAATCCATTGAGGAGCCTCCCCAGCCTCTAAAATAAATGAATTTACAGGGAGACTTAGGGCTAGCGCATAGTTCAGTCAGTAAAGGATGAGGGCCTGGTTCATGCCCATAGCTCCCATCAGGAAGGAAGAGGAAAGAAAGAAAAGAAAAGAGGAAAGGAAAAAGAGAACTGGCCCCAGTACTATGGTCTGTGCTGCTAGCACCAAGGCAGCAGAGAAAAGCAGACGATGACCCCTGGCCAGCCAGGGCAGCATGATGGCATTCCCGTCAAGTGAGAGACTATCCCCGAAACACCACAGTGAATAACACCTGAGGAGCAACACCTGAGGCTATGTTCTGGCCTCCACACACATGAGCATCCGCACACACATGACCATGCACACACAGGAACACACAGATAACACACAATGTGAAAATAAGGAGCTAGAGACTGGTGGATAGAAAGTCGACATCAACAGCAGTGTTGGTGGAGAATTACTACTCTGGTTATACAAATGTACATTTGAAATGTAACATCTGACAGTGACCTTTAAACCAAATCAATTATGGTCAAATATTTTGCACAGTGTTTAAAATGTCTTAACAGAGCAAATAGAAATAAATGGAAAAGAAAATGACCTTTAAATTTTCATTAACATTTTTTGATGTTTTGCATGTAGATACCGAGGAAAGGAAAACAGAAGCTGATTTTCATACTTTAAAGATCTGTCCCATCTGTGTGGAAAGGAGTAATGTAAATTCTGCGTTCTGTAGTGTGGACTGCGCTCCAAGACCCCTCCTTGTTAGCACGGGGATGTACCGTGTCGGTATCTTTAGTCTGGCTAAAGGTGCTATTTTCCTTTTGCTGTGTTTTGACTGAAAGCCTCACATAGGGTAAGGACTAGGTCACATTTATGACACAACCAAAGACACAGTTTGGCTCCGGTTGCCTTTTCAGTTTCTTGTCTTACAGGGAACAGGCTAACCTGCTCTTCTACAAGTCTGATACATCTCTGGGACAGAGTCACTGGAGAGCTAGAATCTCTCTGTGAAACTGCTCACCTGAGGAGAAGCACGGCCGGTCAGTGCTGGGCTTCCGTCCCGAGGGGTAGCTTAACTACAAGAGTCTGTTATCAGGAGGTCCAAGAGATGTTTCTGGTTTGGAATTCTATCCATTTGTGAGGTAACAAGTTACTGTCTCAGCCTCACGGGCGCTGCCAAGCAGCGTGAGCGGGCAACTGGGTCAGAGACAAAGGACGCTCCCTTTGCTGGTGGCTGCCACAGCTGTGATGTGTCAGTGGCTCCTGAGAGTCACCCTGTTGGTTGTGACGTGGGCTCAATGCTGTCATCTTCAGCCCTTGGAAGACATCCCTGAGTCTTTTAGGAACTGTGTGCAAACTGGGCTTCATGGCTCTGAAACACAAAGGAATTTTAGAACTAGCCCATGGGAAGCAGAGTTGAAGTTTTATTAAAAATAGAAAGAGCTCAAGAAACGGCTGACAGGATCCAGAACCACACAAGAGACAAACCCTGGGCGTGTCTGTGAAGAGGGAAGACCCAGCCCACGCCGGTCGGCACATCCTGTGGCTGAGGGCCTGGCTGAATAACAGGGAAGAACTGAGCTGGGCAGCAGCAGCCGCCAGTGGGAATGTCTGTTCCCACTGAGCATGCCGCGTCACCCGAACCTCACACTCCTGCCCCCACGCCCCACCCTCGGTAGTGAGCAAAGTTTCCTACGCTGCTTTTAGAAGTTGTATATAATAGGTGTGTGTGTGTGTGTGTGTGTGTGTGTGTGTGTGTGTGTGTGTGTAATAGAACAAGGTTCAGCAGCAGGACGCTGTGACGAGGTGAGAGGCCGATGCTGGAATTGCACAGAAAGCAGGTTAAGTTGCTTTTGTGGGAGGGTTTTTATCCCAGTGACAGGAAAAGTAGCTAATATATCACCTTGGATTTTTTTTTCTTTTTAATTAAAAGACATGAACAGGAAGCCTGCCACCCTTCTCTTGTGGTCCGCCTGTTTCACTCAGGGCCTCTCAGATTCCCTTCATTCCCTGCTGAAGGCCACTCAGTCAGAACCATTTCGTTGCACTGGGTGGGATCTGGAGCACACACAGACATTCCAGAAGGAGGCGGGACAGCATGTGCAGAGACCTAGGAGGCAGCCTGTCATGGGGGTGAGGACGGAGGACCTCGAGATGGGTGCACAGCCCCCAGCACCCACTCGCAGAGCACTTGAGTGTTCTCACTGTCCTCTGCTTCCTCCCCAGCCTACGGGAGTCCCCACCCCACCCTGAGGAGCAGCCAGGGAATCTGGCCGCCTGGCAGGTGTGGCACCTTAATCTCCCAGGGCATCGAGGGGGAGAACTTCCCTCGGAGCGAAGCCCTCTGAGATAACAGGCTGAAACCAGCTCAGCTCGGCTGCCACTGCCGACGTTCATCATTTGCACCAACAAAAACTACAGAGCAAAACCAACCAGCATGCCGATGGCAAAGCTGGGAGCTGCCGCTTGTTTGGATTGTGTTTAAAATTATTAACGAGGTACTTCTGGAACTCAGGCTCTGAATGATCCCTGGTGAGAACGGGCAATTTTCCAGAATGAAATATTTACATACTCTTTGCCTAGCTGGACTGCACACACGCGTTCACGGCCTTCCAGTGCTCACCACAACAGAGGAGCTGAGAGGTCACTCATTTTTCACCAGCAAGAAACTGGTGTCTGTAGAAACCACTTTTTTTTTCTTTTTATGTAAGGCCTTGCATGTAAGGCCTCACAGTTGAGAAAGTTAAGGGAGGCTTGCTTGTGGTATTTTTTAGACGATGCTAATAAGAAGAATATAAATTGGAAATGTTTGAATCATAAGCACTCCTTTGAAAGCGTATGTCAGCGCGTGATTTTTCAGCTGTCAAAAATCACAGCAATTAAGACATGTGGTGTGGGACACTCAGTCTGCTCGGCGGAGTATGAATGGGATATTGTGACAGGCCTTACTATTCAGGCAAACTGAGTTGTGTACTCAGAAGGTGCTGAATGCTGAGTGTCCAGTGACAGCTCGGTGCTGGCGGGATGGAAGCGGCGGCCCGAGAAGCGCTCACAGCTTGAGGGCGCCCCCAAGTGGACGGTGAGCACGGCGCGCCCCGCGGCAGCTTCCGGGGCTTAGCGGGGTCGCCCGGGAGGGAGAGAGGCGAGCATGCAGGGGTGCAGCAGCTGATCCCCAGGTCGCCGCCTTCTGCCGCGGGTCAGAGAAAACGCACGAAGCCCGCCCTCGCCAGGCTCCTCCCCCAAGGGCTGGCCAGGGCCGCACGCAGCGCTGGCTCCCGCCCCCGGAGCCCGCAGCCCCTGCCCCGGCGCCGGCTGCCGGGGTCTCGCTTCCCAGAGGCCGGGCGGCGCCCGAGGCACTCACGGCCGCCGCGCTTCCCGAGGAGCGGAGCTGACGTCGGGGCCCCTGCCAAGAGCAGCGTCGTTGACTCGGCTGGCTGAACCGGGGCAGCGCCCCGGCCTAGCAGGCCTGGCTGAGGCGCGGGCTGGCGGGGACCGGGAGCATTTCTGGTCCGCACCCCGGGGTGAGCCGCTGGGCAGAGCTTTGGCAACACCAAGGCTGTCCTTTGACCCCCACGCAGCTGCTGGGCACTGGGCGTGGTAGCTAACCGCGTTGTCCACCTGCCACACCCGAAGAGCCCCAGCTGAAGAGTTGCCTCACTCGGACGAGCCGTGGGCGTGCCCCTGGCGCCCCTTCTCAGTTGCTAATTGATGGCTGTGGGTGGCACCACCCTGGGCAGACGGGCGAGGGGTATGTAAGAAGGCTACCTAGGTAAACAGAAGAACCAGCCCCTGGGCGGAGACCCAGTCTCCACCTTCTGATCCTGCCTGGGTTTACCTTGATAGTGTGAGTTGACATAACCCGTTTGGCCGTGCAACAGGAAGAGAACAGGCACCCTAGCTTACGGTGGGAAGAACTATCTTGAACTCCCCATCTCCTCTCGTGACTCCAGCGTGAGTCACAGAGGGGTCTGGCCACTGCGGGGCCCAGTACTTCCTGCCGGGGCTCCAGCTCATCCCAGTCCTGTGGCAGCTCCCCTGTGGGCAGGCGCAGGCTCTCGCTCAGTCCCGGCATAGATCCCAAGCGCCAAAAAGACTCCGGAAGGTTCACTTCCCATCTTTTCTCACCATGTAGTTAAAAGCTAAATTCACACCCACCCAATAAAGGGATGGGTTCTTTTACCGGCAGCAATGTACCAACCAGAAATTCTTCAAAATATATTTTTTCTATTGCCACATTACAATGATAAATACTGTCCAAGTGACGTCCTTGAAGCCCTGCAGATCATGAATGATTAAGAGAAGGGAATGCTTTTCAATGGGATTTCGTGCTTACCGAGTTTTGGATCCTAAGGTTTTTGATGGATGGTCGTGGAGATTTATCTAATTCCCTTGTCATGCAAGCAAACAGAATTGCTCTTTCAGAGGCACCACCATAATGTTCTCTGAGATGTAACAAAAGCCTTGCCATCACCAGTCACAGCCACAGAAAGAGCGGGGACCAAATATTTATTTACAAGGCATAATTTAAAACATATTTTAATAGTTAAAATAATTTAGTGATTAAGATTAAGGATAGTTATGTTACATACCAAAATGTTGTTCTTTTATAAAATATCTGTTTCTTTATACACATGTGCCTGTGTTTATCGCCACGGAAGCGCAGGTGCCTTGGAAAAGGGCGCAGGTCTCCTGGAGCTGGGTTACAGGTGGCTGTGCCACACAGGCGGGGTCTGCAGCCTGAGCTTGGCCAGAGCAGCCAACAACTCACCCCTGGGCCATCTGGGCAGGCCCCTCTTTCCCTGAACACTGTCCCTTTAATCAGGGAGCCCCTGGGCGGAGGCCACCAGCACTGCAGGTCCTTCCCACTGCAGCCGCGCCTCAGTCTCTCTGCTGCTGGCAGGAAATTCCTGTTAAACGTTGCCCTGCTTGGGAGAAATTTCAAATCACTGTTTAAAGAGGCAGGAAATCAAGGCTCACACCTACGTTTGGCAGCTGAAAAACTAAAATCCAAAAACATGGCAGGACTTGCCCTAAACCTACCTAGCAAGCCAATCACAGGCCCCATATGACACTGTGTTTCCCAATGCCCAAGTCTTTGTGTAAAGCCCTCTGCCATTCCGAAACTAGTACAAGTTCTCCATACACCACAGCCAGAGAAACAAATGCAAAACTTAAAAAAAAAAAAATGCTGGGACACGGTGTTTTGATGAAGCAACCAACTGACAAGGCTGAGGTGCTGCTGCTCCATCAAAAATACCTCGATGAGTAGGATGCCAAGAGTGTCAGCAGACCAGCGTGGGCCTGGCACTGCTCACCTTGAGGTCTCTGCGAGTCAGGGCTGGAGGGAGGGCTCAGTGGTCAGGGCACTGGCTGCTTCCAGAGTACCTGGGTTTGAGTCTCAGCTCCCATACGCAGCTCACAACTGTCTGTAAGTCCAGCTCCGGGGCACCTGAGGCCCTCTGCTCATGACACCAGCGCACATGTGGTATACCGACATACATGCAGACGAAACACCCATGCTTAGAAAATGAAAATAAAGTGGAATCCAGCAGCTTTACCTGTCGCGACCAGCAGCTCTGTCTCCAGATCTTCCGGGTGTTCGCTTGGCTTTACCCGGAGGAGGCTGTGTAGAGGAGAGAGCATGTGTGCCTCAGGTCACACCAAGCACAGGTTATCTGCTTGCAGCTAACCACAGCCACAGCTGAACCACTGGCAATCAATTCCAAATGGCTCAACACACATCTCAGGGCAGGGACGTGTTTCGTGAGGAGTGAAAGGCAGATGTGGAGACCTGGAGCAGGGAGTGGCCACTGTCAGCTCGGCCACCCTCACAGGCCCTTCCAAACAGCCTTTGAAAAAGATGGTTTTATATAGAATGACTTGATTAAATGTCATCTTATAATGGTTTAACTTTGACTTAGGGTTTTTTAAAACTTTTTATTATATTTATTTAGGTCAGAAGACAACTTGAGTTGGTTCCATGTGGTTCCCCTGACTGAACCCGGATTTTAGTCTTAGCAGCAAGTGTCTTTCCCTGAAGAGCCATCTCACCAGCCCCAATATTTGTTTTTGGTGTTTTTCTCTTACACTGATAATCTGGGCTTATACTGATGTAACATTTCTTCCAATTCTGAATTACATATTTTTCCACTAGGTTAGAACTTTAATACTGTATTAACAATAAGGAATGAAAGTGCCTGGCTCTCATCTATCCTTACACCATATCCTTCTGAGGTGTACAAGACTTCTGAAATAATTCTTCTGTCTGTTAACTGTTGCTGCCGCATTTGAAGTAAAGTTAGGCTCATTTGTCCCAATTTGTTTTCCATTTTAGGACTTTATTCTTATCTTTTTAAAATTTGAATGTGTGAAATGTTTACACAGTGCCAAAGTTAAAAACTACAAAAAGGCACCTCAATTCGGGGAAGTCTCACTTCCAAGCCTCTCCCCTCATGTCTTCCATCTCCACAGGGAGCCGTGTTTGCTGGAAATACCTAAATGTTTCTATAGCTCCCTCTATGTATGTCCTGCTGTCCACTCAGACCTTAACTGTGAAAATGAATTCTGGAAACAGTACAGTTCACAGACATTTTCCTGTGTGCCGGTGCCTCGCTATGACAAACAGTATTGCCTTACACAACCTTGTGCAAATAACCGGTTATCTGCGATGTGTTTTCAGGATAGATTCCTAGAAGTGAGGCTGCTGGGGTCAGAGGCTCAGGCATGTGTTGTTAGATTTTTCCAAGTCTCTTTGCATTTAGCAGGAACTCTGAGTAGGAAAAGTCTGTTGTCTTGTGAAAGGGGTAATTATTCCTCCCATATCGTCAGCATGAAGCTCTCCATTTTCAAGAATTGTTTTCTCACTGAATTTGAGAGATAATTTGCAAATGTTCTTCCTTGTTACTTATCTGTTGATTTAGGGCTATTCTGTGTGTTTTGGATAATCTTATGTTCATCTTTCCCGTTTCTGCTTGTTGGGTTTAAAAGGTTCACATCATTCTTTGGTTCCATGTCTCTGGTTCTGAGCAGACTTGCTAGGAGCTAGTTGACTTCAGTGTCAAGAACAGACGCAGTTCATGCATTTCCAGATGGCCTTCCCCATGTCTCTGCACCATGATGTTGGGGCCAAACTGGAATTTGTACCCTTAACACAGAAAGGGCCTTCAGGACTAGCCTGATTATAAAGTAACACTGGGACATAATAAGTATATTAGGTTTCAGGCTTAGGTACACGTTTAAGAGAGACAGGCACTCAGAAGTGAGACAAACTCAAAAACCAGGGCATCAGCTTTTCTGCGAGTCAAAGCCACGTGTGGGGGTGGCCTCCTCACGGCTCTTGTTTGGTTTGGTGGTTCTGTTTCATAACAGGTATGTATAGGATTCTCTGTGGGCTTTGATTAATCTTCTTAAAGCTAAGAAACCCGGAAGCCATCACAGGAGGTTCTGTAGTTTTAAACCTAGGACACATGACTGGGGTACCCATCTAACAGGGCAGAGCAGATCTGGCCTCAGGTTCTCCCAGCATCCCTCAGTCCCTGCCTGCTATGGGGTATGCTGGCTTGCCCTGACCCCCACCCCGAGCTTCTCCAGCCCCGAGGCTCTTCCCTGGACAACGCGGACATCTGGTCACGCGTCCCCCTTCTGCACCTTTGGCCTCTGTGCCGCACCTGGGCACTGCCCTCCCCTGCCCTTCTCACCTGGCCTGGCACAGTCTGCTCACTTCTGCTCTGGACTCACAGATGCCTCTGTCTCTGCTCTCCCTCTCATCTACTACCCCCAGGAGCAGCCATGTCTTTTCTTGTCCTTTCTGTTTCTCGGTTTTTTTTTGTTGTTGTTGTTTCATTCAGGTTCCTCAGGAACAGCTGACAGTATTACAACTGTAAGAGCCTCATGACTCAGGAGGGTCAGAAATAGTCCCATCAATAAAACACAGGTAACAACCTCGTTAGAGGTGTTTGGGGGAAGACATGAAGCCTCACTCACAAACACTAGGCCATTAAGCCTGGTTCTTGAGCATAAAATCCCCGTCTGTGCACAGAGTATTCTCTCTATATCAGCAGCCCTCATGGCAAACAGTAACTGTGCTGAACTCTGTGTCTCCGCCAGTGAGGGGCTTCAGCAGACTCCAGGTGAGGGGCTCATTCCCCTCCTGTATCCCTTTTCTTTTTATCCTTTCTCGCCTGCACCATCTGTTACAAAGCTCATCTTTGCCAGGCCATGAGACACAGGCCTGTAATCTCAGCACATGGGAGGCAGAGGCAAGTGGATCTCTGAGTTCGAGGCCAGCCTGGTCTACAGAGCGAGTTCTAGGCCAGGGCTACACAGAGAAAACAAGAAGAGCTCATCTCTTCCTCAGACAGGAGAACTTGGCTTAGATCATCAACTTGATATCATGCACCCAGAGACTGGCGAGCAAACCACCTGGGAGAAAGCACAGGCTTTGCTCCGTCCTCCCACTCCTTTCCCAGGACAGGCACAGCCCATCTGGCACTCTCTTCCACTGGCCTCTGGCCCCACGCTCTGGCCTGATCGTGGCAGGAGGCTGACATCACCAGCTGCCTTGTTCCTGACTCCTGGTTAGGTTAGCATGGGGTTGCCTGTGTCTCACTCTCTCTGTGGCTTACTTCAGTGGCTGCCCCCAATGCAACCCTCCCTCAGCCGGCTGCAGCTCTCCTGGGTTTTGTCAGGCTCTTCCTCCTCTTTGCCTGGTCAGGATACCCCTCAGACATATGTCTTCACTTTGCCCACACCCCTGCAAAGAGGCCTAGGGGGCTGCAGGTGGGCGCCTAGGTATAGCTGAGGGGGGCTATCGTAGATATGAGGGAGAGCAAGGGTAGAGGCAATCTGGACAGTCCAGACTGAACACGGCCATCAGGGTAAGCAGGCCATGGCAGCTAGGGGAGGAGAGCAAGTGGACCAAGAGAGATCCAGGCATGGAATCAAGCCACCAACAGGCCATATGTTTAAGACGGCTGAGTTATATAGGCAAGAGAATCTCAGGGAATGGAGGGAAGGATCAGCCCCTGGAAGTCAGAGGTTTAGGGTAGAGGAGTCATAAGTACTGAGGGCTCCTGGGATAGCTGGGAGGAGCCACAGGACTGAGGGCCGCTAGGAGAGTTGGCCAGCATCTGCTTTGATACTGAATAAGCTCCTCCATTTCTTTAAGACCCCACAGTGGTTTCAGTGTGTAATCTCGGGTGGAGACAGGCTTACCTGAGGCTTCCTGGACAAGAAACCTGGCCTCCTCTGGCTTCCCTACTCAAGTACACACATGCCATGCACACCCACACATATAGGTGTACACACCAGACACACCCGAGAGGACCTCTCTCGCCTCCCTCAGGTGTGCCTTCCTACCCTTTAATCATACAGACTGTGCTGCCAGAGTCTGACCCCAAGAGTCACCACACTCACTAATCTATTAGTGTGTGGCTTCCCCACCATGCTCAAAATAGGACGTTTACAGAACAAAGAAAAGGAGGCCGTGAGGTTGGGTCAACAGAGTGAGCGAGGGGGACAGTGTGTGTGTGTCAGAGTCAGTGTGGGTACATTTCTCTTCGGGATTAGTGATGACAGCCTTAGCTAGTCATTCCTGTTTGTCTGATTCGCCTCCAACCTAACCCTGACTGTGCATGGCTCTAGGTAATTTACAGCTCACTTTGGAACTCACCTTAGAACCCTTCCTCAGAGGTGCCGGGTTCAAGCTAGGATGTCAGAGGTACTGTTTTCTGCATCATCCCCTTCACACCGCTGAGGTGTTCGCCAGGCGTTCTCTGCAGTGCGTGTGCGGCACCCGCGTGTGCCAAACAGAGGCAACCCACGAGCCTGACACAGTACCACAGAGAGTGTGTCTGGGCTCTCTGCTGCACACAGCCGCCCTTTCCTCCTCGCGGTAGGGCGGAGGCATCTCTGGAAGACACCACACCCCAAGCGAAGTGCTGAAATCTGAGCAGCTTCCATCGTGTGTGGTTCGAACCCAGCCCGTGAGGACCTCAGTTCTCCGTCATCAGATCTGCTTCTTGCTTTATTGGAGACTGTCTCGGTATTAAGAGAGTATGAATCCTCAGTATCAAATAAAAATGGATTGAAATTAAATCCTCCTTCATTAAGATGAACAAAAACTTTGACAGTTGAGCAATAGCAGGCCTGCTTTACAATAACCACTAGAAGAACCCCGAGCCTGCGTGAGAGCACTGTGAGCCTGCGTGAGAGCGCTGTCTGTAAGCCAAAATCCAGAGGAAGAAATACGAGCAAGGCACAGGTTATTCTACTTGGACATAAGACACAGAATAAACCTATTTTTGGCTTTTGACTCTTCTTTTCCTGATTGTAGTGATTAGCTAGAAATACCCCACAGGCTCATATTTGAGTGCCACGTCATAAGGAAGTGGCGATACTTGAGGATTAGGAGGTGTGGCCTTCTTGGAGGGAGTGTGCTACTAGGGCCCATGCTAGGCCCAGTTCTCTCTCTGCCTGTGGATGAGGATGTGGCTCTCACCAACAGCTCCAGCAGCACGCATGCCGCCATAAGGGAAAATGTAAACAGAGCCCACTCAAATACTTTCTTTTATAGGAGCTGCGGTGGCCATGTTTCTCTTCACAGCAGTAGAACAGTGAATAAGACACTGATGTTGGGGGTTGCTCTGATGCTGGCCCTCAAGATCTGGTTACTTCCTGGATTTACCTGTCCTTGTTATGTAAACCTGGTCAGTTGGTTAAAGGTCTGTACCTGGGCAGGGCAGAATGGGGTGGGCATGGCTAATGTTCCCGGGCTTTTGAGGACAGGAAGAGAGGATCATGGGAGAAAGGAGGAAGGAGGGTGCCATGATGGGTTAGTGTGGAGAAGAAATCACACTAACCAGGAGAGAGGACTCCAAGAATGTCATGGAAAGGCACAGATGAAGAATACAAGCAAGTTATCTTGGGATTATGGATAGAGCGTAGACCAGTAAGTATGGGTAAGAAGGATGGCATTAGGTGGGGGGTGGGAGATGGATGGTGAGGATATTGAGATAGTGTAGGGAGATATCTGCCGGGCCCAAGGTAAATAAGGCAATTATAAACCCTAACAGGTGTCTGTGTCTTATTTGATTGATTGTGATAGTGGGTTAGACAATACTGCCTTGATAATCATAGGGCAAATAATATATAACCCAACACCCTTTTATTTACTACAACACACTGATTTAAAAAAACTTAAAAATATTTTTTAAATAGAGGCTGGAGGGATGGTTGAGGGTTTAAGAGCACTAGCTCCGAGTCCTTTGCAGAGGACTCAGGTTCAGTTCCCAGCACCCACATAGTGGCTCACGACTGTCTGTAACTCCAGTTCCAGAGGACATGACACCCTCTTCTGGCCTCGCACAGATGGCTGTGCAGGCGTCATCCACTGAGCAGCTCTGCCGCTCACCACCCCACACAACCCTCCAGCCTGATGAGCCCAAACAAACATGCCCTCTGTGAGGTTCTGCGGTGATTTAAAAATGGCCACATAAGGTTCTCGTCCCATAGGTAAAGGTCATCCGGGGATTCACGCACACTCCAGTATCCCTGTGAAGGTGGGAGAGCACACACTCAGCAGGTCCAGTTGAACCTGGCCGGGAGTGGGCGGCACTAGAAGCGTTTTAAGCACCCGGAAGGATTTATGTGTGTGATGTGAGGATGATACAAGACTAAAGAATCACCTTGTAGATGTTTAAAGTTCCAGTCGACTGAAGCAAGGCTGTCCTCAGAGGGCTTCTGGGTAGGGGCTAGAAAGGGGATTCAGGAAGGGTTCACAGTTCAGAACTAAATCCCCGGGCCAGGCTGTTCTGAGTGGCTCCCAGCAGCACCCAGCTCATCTGGAGCCAGCTTCTGGCTTCCTGCTAGCTCAGCTGTCTGATCGGTTGTGTGCGGCCTTAACACTAGCATAACATGTGAGCAATTTGCTACCTCTGAAAGAAGTCGCCAGCCTCACACACGCTGCTCATCCCGACGCCTTCAACAACCGTATTCATCCTTTGAATAAGAAAGTGCTTCTCACACCCTTTCCTGCCCCTTGGATGTGCCAGCAAGTAGGAATCCCTCCGTTACCTGCTGTTTTCCAGTGACTGTACTTAGGAGGAGACAGTGAGACACCAGATCAAATCTAGGGCGAAATCACAGTTCATGATGTCTTTCAAACGAGTTCACGTTGTTATAGAAAATGAAATTCCCAACCGTTCTGTTTTTACCAGTGAAGACTCAGGAGCCAGGTGCTGGGGTGAAAACCTACCAGCTGATCTTCCTACTCAGCTCACATCCCAGGAGGAAAAGGCTGAAAGTCCAATGCTAAAAGCTTGCTGGCTCAGCTGACAGCCCAAGAGGAGAAACCCAAAAGCACAAGGCCAAAGAGCTAAAGAGCCCAAGAGCTAGAGAGCTAAAGCTTCTTTTTCTTCTCCACGCTGTTTTAAATACCCTACAACTCTAAGTCCCTCCTACTGCTTAATCCCTGTCAGCTGGTTTCTTGTTCCACCTCTTGACCTAGGGTTAACTTTATTAAATCCTGTGTACAGAAAGTTCTTGGATAACAGGTGTGTGCTAGGGCAGAGCCACACCAAAGACAGGTTTCACAGTTCACAATCTCAGGGTTCACAATGGGATCAAATATCTGGCAATATTTCCCCCTTTTTGTCTAAATAAAATACTTTTATCTAACACCAATAAACTATGTATACATATACATATATATATATATATATAGTCCATTCAAAATGTCCAGTCCATATGTAATTAGCAACCTTGAAGAAAATATTCTACTATCTATTCTATTTTGCTGAGTCCAAAGTTCTGTACCTAAATCTCTTTGTATCATAACTTGCAATACCAATCAAAAAAGCATGTTTTTAGACTTAAAGCATCTTAAATCCTAAGCAACTTAAGCTTAATTATAAGACTGTAACTATTTAGTCTTCAATCCCATCAGAGACCTGAGAAGGATAAATATCTGAATAAGCACAACAGAGCAAGCAGCTTCCAAAACTATAGAAAACTATAGACAGTCACCCAAGATAGCTCTAATAACGTTGGAGCATCTTCTTCAGCCTTCTGGATCAGAATCTCTGACAGTATTTTTATGAAGCAGGTATAATGAAGAACTTGCCTACCTTGTCCTTGCAAAGCCCAGCAGTCGACTTTTCTGCATCCAGTTTGTCTAGTATTCTAATTGCAGTTGAAGTAAGGGCATTTTCTTGCCCAGTAGCTAGCTTGACACATATGAAGCCATCTCCTAAAGAAAATTTTTTTTTGATGATCATCTTCTTTGAAGTTGAAAGGGGCTGCTACCAAGAGCTGACATGGTTTCATAGTGAAAAACAAACAAACAAACAAACAAACAAACAAACCAAGTCTCAAAATAATAAAACATATTTAAATGCCATACTGAGGTTTTTTTGAAAATCATCTATGTATACTATGCCTGAATTGCTGGTTTTTAGCTGTATATTGATTGATTAACTTAGAAAACACCCTTGATAAACTAGTACCTACAAAACTACAAGTTTGATTGACTATTAGTCAATTATCCTAAACAGTTTGTGATAGTAGCTTTCAAAAGGACTAGAACTTCATGTTGCATTTTTTAGAATTACATAGGTACAATACCTTAAAGAATTCATACATACTATGTTGTAACCAAAACCTTAATTTTGAATCAATATACAAAGATCCGTATCAATGTAATCAACTGTAACTTTGATTTTATATAATATAGAAATATCTATGAGAGTAGATTCAATAATCTAACCTTTTTTCCCTATCATTCTTATGTTATTTCTATACCTGCCTTTTTGTCTAAATAAAAAGGAAAGATAAAGTAAAACTACTTACAAAAATTAAGCAATTTTTGCTAAGCTTTCCACAATGTCCAGCATGGTTGTATTTGGCAGTCTTAGAATTAAGTATTTTTTAATTCAACGTTCTGTAAAATGTTTGTGTTAGTCTCATATGAACTCAGCAATTTGAATGTCCTAAGCAGTCCATCCAAAGCTGATCTTTAGGTGGTGTTTGTCAGCATAGTGGCAATCCTGACGAGGCAGAACATAACAGCCAACACAAAGCCGTCCACTGTGCAGAACCAGGCAGCAGGAGAAGCTGGAGCAGTTTTTCCCAGTGGTTGGTGAATTCACCACTGGAGTCTCCATCATCTTCTTGGAAACCTAAAAGGCTAAGCTAGGAGTGGGAGAAAAGCAAAACATTTTAAATGCCATATTCAGCAGATCTCAGAAAAGGATTGAGGACCATAATCTATTAAGTACATCCAAGGTACACAAAGTTTGTTCTCAGATACTTGCTTCAGACTCAAACATGGAAACACATAAATGAAACTAGATGAAGCTTATTTCTAGAATTAGTTAGTACTCTGTATGATTAGTAGTATCACAATAGAAAGTTTATATATACAGAATAATCTTGTAGATTTTGAGGTAATATTTATACATTTAAAAAATTTAGAGAGTCAAATGAAAACCAAAAGATTATGAGATCAGTGACAATAGAATAGTCCCTTATTTTTTGTTTTTCTATGTCCCATCTCTTCTGCCTCTTCTGCTATGATAGAGATTTTGGATTTTCCTTTAACAAGCATGCATGTGTCTAACGGAGAGAGCCACACTCCAAACCCAAAGCCAGCTTTAATTAATAAGTTAGTTGGGAGCCAAAACAGCTGAGTTGAACCAGCCAGCTATGAGCTCAGAAAGAACTAGAAAAGGTGGGCTTATTCAGCAGTAAGTCTCAGAGCTGGAAACGTTCTAGTCTTAGGTTAGATTGAACAGAGGCTGGAAGTTTCCAGGACTAGGCCTGGGTCAGCAGACAGAGGCAGGAAGCCTCCAAGACAACAATTGAGGCAGGTGAATAAAGGTTCTGTTTACAAGTTCACCATTCTGTGGAGCCTGAGTCCACAAATAACGTCCGTGAAGTGACAGGGCTTTAACGCCGTCCAGAGGAAGCCCAGCAAAGCCCGGGGCCTCAGGGCATGCCGGTCAGCCCCCAGGAAGCTTCCCTAGGAGGAGCGTGCGCACAGAGCACAGGCACTGCGAGGGGCCTTGCTCCTGGGGCACAGGTAGTAGACTCCCTCTTGCCTGTGCGGTGGAAAGAGAGGTGGGGGCAGCACCGAGGCGAGGCGGGGTGAGGAAACCCGCAGAACACCCTTCCTCTTAGCGAACAGGCTTCCCGAGGGCTCAGCCCGCCGGGTTGCGCAGGGCGAAGACACTGCGCAGGCTCGTCTCCCCCGCAGCATTCCGTCTCAGTCTCCGCCTCGCACCGGCTTAGTCGGGAGGCTCGGCAAGGCCCGGGTGGCTCCAACCTCAGACCCAGCTGCGGACCTGCCAGATCCCGCCGCCTGACGGGACGGGACGCCCGAGGGACGCTGTCACGGAAGGCGACCCTCCCGCGACAGCGAGGAGGCGGGACCCGGGAGCGCGCGCTTCCGCTCTTACTGCGCCTGCGCCTTACCTGTGCGTGCCCGGCCGCCTGGGGAGCTGAGGCCTGTACGGTGTAACGGCTAACCCCAGGGAACAAGCCCTTCCTCCCCTTGAACGTCAATCGTTCGGTGTTGGGAACTTTGGACATTTCTCTGTCACTTTGAAATACGTCACAGATTGTTTGAACTGCGGTTATTCTGCTGTGCTACAGAAAAAAAAAAAAAATCAAAGAATAAAAAAACAAAAACAAAAAAACAGCATCTGTTCTTCCCCTCGGGGTCTTCGAGCCCCTTACTGGGCCCCCTCTGTGCCTCCCCGCCTTTCCGTTTACCACAAGTGGGCGAGAAAATGCGGTATTTACCATCCTGGGTCTGGTTTGTTTCACTTAACATCATGACGTTGCTGCCGATGACAAGATTTCATTACTTTTTACAGATGAGTGCATCGCTTTAACTGTTCATCGACTGGCGGTCATGCAGGCTGGCTCTATATTGGCTGCTGTGGTATGGGGCGATGAACACGCACTGCACTGGCACGTTTCCTACAATGATCTGTTCCCGCTGGTATTAAGTGCTGGGTCACAGGGTTAAAGCCCCTCCCTGCTTCAGGGCGTGGCTGCCATGCCCTGCCCTCCACCTAGGGGCGGAGCTTCTCTCCCAGAGCCCCCACATCACAGAGCATCTTGGTTCCAGAGCATCCTTTTCGGCCCTTTCTCCCCCATTCCTGCCCTTTGTCTCCATTTCCCCTCTTCCTGCCCTCCCCACCCAGCGTGCATTTTCCCCTTTCCCTTTCCCCTTCTCTCGCTGCTCCCAATAAACCTGCATTTATATAATATAGTCTCTCTTAGCTCATTCTATTTTACTTAATCAATCAACTGTAATAGGACTCTTAGAGCTGTTTTCCATAATGGCTGGGCTAATTTACACTCCCATCACCAGGACAAATGTGTGCTTACCTCTGAATCTTCACAGCCAACCCAGCGCGGTGGTGCACACCTGTAATCCCAGCACTCAGAGAGGGAAAGGAAGGCCGAGCACTGTAAGTTTGAGGCCAGCCTGGTCTACAAAGTGAGTCTAGGACAGCCAGGGATACAGAAAGAAAATCTGTCTCAAAAAGCCAAAATAACCAAAAACCAAACAAAAAAACCCAAAAGGTAGATTGTTACTTTCCTGATTTCTAACTTTATAGAGCAGACAGAAAGACAGAGCAGGGAATGGGAGTAAGGCTCCAGAAAAATTCTGTAAACTTGGGCCTCTGACTTTCAACAAGAACACCCCCATGATTTAATGAAGGAAAGTAGGTTTTTCTAGTTGTTTGATATAAGCAAAAGGTTAAAACTGGACTGCTTCCAAAAATCATATATATAAGCCCAACATGAATCATAGATTTAAATGCATCATTTGGCACAATGAAATTGTTCTAGTTAGCACTCACTGTCAACTTGACACAGCATAGGATTACCTGAAAACTTAATCAGGTCGGTCTGTGAGAGGCTGTCTTGGCTGTGGACATAGCAGGGCCTAGCCCTCCATGAGCAGCACCAGGCCCTACACAGGTGGTCCGCACGGCATGAGCCTGATCCAGTCAATGAGCAAGGCACCAAGGAGCGTTTCTCTATGGCTTCCTTCCCTGCACTTTGGCTGTGAGTGAATTTCCTGGTCAGAGATAATGCTGTGTCAGGCAGCAAGCAGCCCTGACATCAGGCCCCTGCCTTGACTCGCTTTCCTACTGGACTGTGACCCGGAAGTGTAAGCCAAACAAACTTCTCCCTTAAGTTGTTGCTGGATTGTTTTTGCTCTTTGTTTGTTTAATCATAGCAACAGAACAATAATATTCTAGAGCAGTGTTTCTCAACTTCCCTGATGCTGCAACCCTTCAATGCAGTTCTTCACGTCCTGGTGGCCTCCAAACATAATTATTTTGTTGCTATTTCATAACTCTACTCCTTTCATAACTGCTACTCTTATAAATCATTATGTAAATATCTGTTTTCTGATAGTCTTAGGCAACCCTTGTGAAAAGATTGTTTGACCCCTGGAAGAATCGTGGCCCACAGGTTAAGAACCATTGCTCTAGGGCCTAAAAAACAAAACAAAACAAATCTGTATATCCCAGGGTTGGCTCACCAGTGGCAAAAACACATACAAATCTAAAAATGAGGTAAAGTTGGCAGTTGTGTAACTCCATGGATAAACAAGACCTCTGCGTGTAGTGTTATAGTTAAGAAATCTGCCACATGTTTAACCTAAGAAAAGAAGTTTATGATGAAAGGGGAGAGGGGAAAAAGAGGAGGGGCACCCAGAAAGGATAGAAACAGAGAAAGTCAGAGAGAGCGAGAGAGCGAGAGAGAGCACGAATTGGAGGCCGGCCTTTACCTGGCATGCTGGTGGCAGGTGATGACATCAGGTTGCTAGGCAACCTAAAAGCAGGCTATTGGCTTGTGAGCTAACATAAGTTCATTATGGGGAGCTTTTGTGGTTTGTAAATTATAACTCAATGAAGCTTAGAAGGATTTAGGGATTTACATTAGCTTTTAAAGGAACGAACAGTTGAACATACCTAGTATATTTATATTATCTAGTCGTTTCTAAACAAGTCACTTCATTTAAAAAACGGTCATAAAAACGCAGTTAAAATTATGTTCATAATTTCCATGTCAAAAATATCAAATAACCTACAAAACATATGAAAGACGGTTCACAGTATGGCCTCAGCTTATCTTCCATTTCTACAGCAAAATATATGAAGCGGGGTGAGATGGAAAGAAAGGGATCCATTTGGCCTACAGTTCTAAGACGCCTTGGGTCAGCCCTCGTTCAGCTGCTAGAGAAGGCCTCTTCACTTAAACTGGACTGACGGGGATAGTGCTGGAATTCGTTGCTACATACTAATTTTTCATATTCCTTCCACCTCCTGCAAAGACAAACAAAAAAATCTCCCAGGTACTGGTAGGTGTCACCCAGTGCCCGTGGCTCCTCCCAGCATGTCTCACCCCGCCATACCCTAAACCTCTCCCTCCCAGAGGCTGGGCTTCCGCTTCCCTTCACCCAACCTAGTATCTCTATATAAGTCAACCATTTTGGCTACAAAAATGTCTGCCTGTCTTGGTCGGCAGCTCCCCCTCCCTCTCATTCCTCTCATGGTCCTTTTTTTTTTCTTTCATGTACAAATAGGAAATGGCTTTTGTTTTCTTCCTCTATTTTAAGACATTCTGCTGATGTCCTTCCTTGAGTCTGAGCATCTCAGCAGACACCACAGAGGACTGCAGGAAAAGCATTCACAGAGCACCCATGAGCTTAAGTAGAAGAATGTTCCCTCTCTTAATCTCTGACATTATCCGAATGTTAGCATTACACATCCGCAGGAGCTGTCACACAGGGACTGGGCTTGTGCTTTATCCAGTGTGGAGACCTGGCTGCTGTCAGTGAATGAAAAAAAGAAGTGAAAAAAGAAGGATATGACTGGTCCTGGGCTTCAGCACCAGATGAATGAAAGAAAAAAGAAAGAAAAAGGAAAGGACAGGACTGCTCTTAGGTACAGTGGAGAGGTGTACACACACACACACACACACACACACACACACACACACACGAGAGAGAGAGAGAGAGAGAGAGAGAGAGAGAGAGAGAGAACATAGCCTGAGGCAGGGACTTTTGGGAGAGTCCCAGACTGACCTGGGCTGTGTAAGGAGGAGGAGGCGGCAAAGGGGAGACCCAGAGCAAGAGGCCAGAAAGGTCAAGGGTAGACAAAAGGGCCAGGTGACCAAAATGATTGGCTTAATAGGGAAAGGGCACTTGGAGGAAGGGAAGCTCACCCTAATACCTGGGCTGGAGAAGTTTAGGGTGCTGGCACTGCACACCAGCCAGGAGGACCCTGTAACTGAGGGATGCTGGGAGAAACTGGCTGCCAGGTCCACTTTGATGTGCTGGTAGGTGTCTCAGCCTTTTGTCCCAGGTTTGAGGCCTAATGATAGGTGTTAAGTACTAATAGTCAAGTAATTTACATGTTAAGGAAGGCTCATATTTAAAATAATACATTTTTGTCACACATTTAGCAATTCTAATTCAAACCTTGATTTGTATGCTGCCCAAAGTACAGACTTTGGCTTTGGAATTCAAGCCATATTTCAACCATTAAAGACCATTCAAAAGGCAGCATTTACTGTGCCTCCATTGCTCACTCTCCCCTTGAGTAAAGCTAAAGTGCAGAGATGATTCCAGGACGTGGGGAAGGGAAGAGCTGCAGTGTGGGGAGAGTTAAGCAGTTCCTTCTGTGTATGCGAGCTGGCCTGGCCACACCTCTATTGTATCCCTGCAAGCTGCTGAAATGGCTAAAATTACATCCATGTGACCTGATTCTGTGTAAAATTCAGTGTGCATGTGTGCTCAAACACAGATTCACACGCATGCAAATGGACTGTATCTGTGGTGGTGGGAGCTGAAGGTTGCTCCTGTTCGGTTTTTCTAGCTGGAGATTCACCATCCTATCTTCCAGCCTCCTCCTCAGCCTCCTGGTTGCTGGGATTGCAGATGTGCACCATGACCCCTGGCCTGCTTGTATCACTGCTGTTGTTATAGCTTTATTTTTAGTCCATGTATGTACGTGTGTTCGTATGTGGGTATATGAGGTGTGGGTGCTTGCAGAGGCTAGAGGTGCCAGATGCCCTGGACCCTGAGTTGCAGGCAGTTGTGATCTGACGTGAGTGCTGGGAAGTGAACGCAGGTCCTCTAGAAGAGAAGTATGTGCTCCTAACTGCAGAGCCAGCTTCCCAGCCCCTCTTGCTGTGTTCCTGAGACAGGAGCTTGCTATTCAGCTCTGGCTATTGGAGGGTTTGCTCAGTGTCCCAGGCTGGCCTCACGCTTCCATCCTTCTGCCTCAGCCTTCTGAGGACTGGAGTCACAGGGTACAGCTGCAGAGAGTCATGAAGTTGGCCTGATCTTGAGAGGTTTTTCGGGAGCCCATGGTCCCTGGCACTGTGTGCCCTCCAGTGTCTGGAAGACTGGCCTATTT